TTTGGCAAAATGCTCTTTTCACAGACTTTTCTGAACTATAAGAGACCCACAATGATCACTGAAATTTTATCCCTGAGTTCTATCCCTGTATGTGCCATTCACTTATGAGTCTAACTCATAAGTAAATGGCACATACAGGGATAGAACTCACAACTTTGTCATTATTAGCACCATGCTCTAACCAGCTGAGCTAATTACATGTTTTCTTACCATCAAAGAGTTTGGGGTAATGTTTGTTTGCTTGTTCATAAGGATCTTTTGCATCACTTTGAATCATAAGTTTGGGCTTCTACATATGGTGACAGTGTAAGGAATGTTTTAGTGGTACTTACCTTTCAGTTTGCCTCTTCAGCAGTCAGAAAACTCTGTTCTAGTCAAAAAAAAACCAACCTAGAAGCAAGAAGATTGACTCATCTGCTATTTTGGTTCTTTCCATGCCAAATGTCTAAGAGCAAGGTGGAGAGTGTAAAAGCCTGACTGAAGTGCAGAAGAAATTTGTTTGTTTGTTTAAATGCTGTACTTCTTGAAATAGTCTGTTTCAAACAGGCTGTTACTGTGTTATTTCTTTAAGATAGGTGTGCAGATTGCCTTTGCTCATTCTCTGCTTTAATGTCTGCTGGTTTGCTACTTACTGGACTTCCTACATTAAAGGCTTTTCATATTTGTAATATCTATTGCAGACTTTTTTATTAGCAATCTCTTAAACAGTCAGATGGGTGAGTTTGTGATGGAAATCCTATTTGGAAACTAATTCTTGCAAATTAGTCATCTTTGACAAACAGATTTTGGACAATATTGTGGTATGGTTGACTCCAAAAACAGTTTCATGAGGACATGTTGTGTGACAACTTCCTTTTTTTTTTAACTTGCTGATGCAGTTGTGCCAGAAAAAGATAGATATTGCTTTGCTAAACAGAAGTAGGCTACAGAGGTATGAGAACTTTCATGTCAGACTCCTTTTGGGAACACGTTTTTGAGACCTGTTGGTGCAAATAATACATCTATTATTTTCTATTTGACTAGCCTAACATTATATACATTTTTCTGTGAAAAAGGTGAATATTAGTTCTAAACCCCAAAGTACCATCACTGTTTTTATCCATCTTCTGTACACTAAGAAGATAATATGCATGTTTGCAGCTATGTCAAATGAGACAGTGATCTATGAAGTACCAGAAGAAGTATGGGGCACTCTGGCTACTGAGAATGTATTTGCTCCTAGTGAGGCATCATCATATTATGCACTCCAGCCAGAAACTTTTAAACTTGATTTTAATTAACTTCATATGCCTCATATAAATTATGTTTTGGTTAAATTGTGGTTTTTTGTTTCAAGAAGTTTTGAAGAAATTTGAAGATTTCCTCATCTTTGGATCACAAGGATGATGCATTCAGAGATCTGGGTTTCAGATTTTTGTTTCATGGACTCTGTCCTCAATTTCCTGGTTCATGGTGTTGGATTAGATTGAACAGAATGACACAGCCAAAGGTTGTATTTATGGTTAGAAATTAGTTTTGGTATACAAAGGTCTGCTCTGTGGATTGACTTAATGACTTTCCACCCTATGTTTTGGGTTATTTCTGTTTCATCTGAATTTGTTGACAGGACTCTAATATGCTTTAATACTACCCTTGTGCCATTGGATGAGATCTAAAATTTAATAAAGCAGCTTCCTGTCTGGCATAGACTCTGTTTTATATTCCTTAATGCTCTCTTTGCTGGTGTAATTCAGTACTTGTGAAGTTGTGAGGAGCAGTATTTTAAACTACTATTGCTAACAATAAGCAGTATCGTTCAAACTATTATACAAATAATTAAATACTCCAAATTTGGTTGGTATTTTTATGTGTGGTGTTTGGTTTGGGGTTTTTTTGTTGGTTTTGCCACAATCCAATAAACACAATGTAGACTTAGAGTTAGACAGTTCTTTATGGAATTCTTTTATTTATATTAAAGCTGCTGGAAGGAGCTGTAATATTTTGTCTTCATTAAGATATTATAAGCTTTCTCTTTCTAATGACAATATCTTTAAGTCTAATGAAAATTTGAAAGAACCTCAGAGAAACTTGAGACTTTAGGCAAGAGAAGAAAATGATGGTGTTTATCTCTATTTGTCTCTATCAGAGTTGTGCTCAGTAAACAAATATTATGGTAATTTCATTTCATTGTCTTCAAGCTTGTGATGTCAAGCCTTGGTCTGTTCACATTTTTACTACCTTTACGATGCTTTTGCTGATATGATGTGTTAATTAGCTACATAGCTCAGAACGTGTGTCATAGTGTGCTCAGAAACAGGCTGTCACCTAGTAACAATCAGGAATTAGGGAGAGCTGGGAAAGTAAGGCATTTCAATTCTGGCTTACTTAAGTATCAGAGAAAGGAGGAAGGCCATCTGTCATGCTGAGAAGGGAATGATGTGTCCTGCTAGAGAAAAGGAGCTGTTGGAATGGGGTTCTGGGTTTTTAGGAGCACATTTTGAACAGCATAATGAATGGATGTGTTGGCATTAGACTTGGAAGACCACTGTGATATTTTTTGTCATTGTTAAACTGAAAGAAAATCCATCAGCAGAGCAGGTTTGCTTTTCAGCAGCCTATTTAACAACTTCAGCTGTTCTTTCCAGTTGTTAGCTTTTTCTACGTAGATGTTTTTCCCTTGAAACAGTATTCCTCACAGCCTGAATCCCACAGCTCTGCTACTATGCATTGGAAAGCTGCATAGAGAAAGTTAGCAATGATGCTGAAGGTTGCTTTCATCGCTCCATGTTGTATGTTCTGTAGTTAGAATTTTAAGTTTTCTTGGAATAATGGGATTTCTACTTAACTTGTATGCTTTGCCTGAATGTGACTTTATTTTACAATATTTCATTCCCTGTAGTAAGGTTTGCAATAGATACAATTTTATAAACAGATTGCAAAGTGAACAAAAAAGTTGAGGATGAGTGTTGTAATAACATTTCAAAGTCCTTTACCAGTTTCTTTCCTTGACATAATTCTCCTGATAGTTTCTTGAAATGCCTCTGTTTATAAAGCAGGGAGTTCATTTCTTTCTTTGTTTTCTCATGGAAGATTATAAAAAAGGTAGAATAAGATTCTGAAGGCAAGGAAGTTAAAATGTTTTCTTGGTCATAAATATATCTACTAGTAGAAATCAGCTTCAAAATACCAGTAAACAGTGCTGTGCATTGTATCAAATAATCTTTTAAATCCATGGAAGTTTTGGTACAGAATATGACATTGGCCTAATAATAACAAAGTGCCCTTTCTGTTATTGCTCTTCTTACTATTACTGGTTTTTTCCCAATAACTGACTTTTAATACTTAATTTCAAAGCCTGTGTTAATTTTTTCCTTACAAGGAGTTATGCTCTACTCACAGTGATTCTACATTTTAATGTGTCAATGTGTGTATGCCCATTGTTTTATTTGGTGTAACTAAGAAGATAACTAATAGCATGTAGCCTTTATACTAGGTTCAAACTGGCATAAGTTTGTTATTCAAAGATAATAACCATTTACAAAAAAAAAAAAAAAGCTTGGTAGATTTGTATATTTCTAACTGAAAAAGAGCTTTTAAATTTAATCAGTTTTGCCATATGATTCAAAGAGAGCTGTAGGTCTTGTTTCAGTAATGTAATGATTCAGAACTCCGATTAGATTGGAGGAGCTGCTTGGTTTTTGGGAGGGGAATAGCAAATCTGTGCAGTCAAGACAAGGGCTAGCTAATTCTCTTATTTACACATATCATCTTTTGTCACAGAAAGAACCCCAACCCAAACCTGTGCATGTTACCAAAAATAATGTACTCTACAGAATAGGGATGACTTGAACCTGGTGATATCATAGATGTCATTTGAGGATAGTAAATTTGATCATAATGTCTGGGTCTCTAGCTACTGAATCAGTCTTCAAGAAAAGTAGTGACTAAATATTTTGCAGATTTCCTACCACTTTCTATACTTGAACAGTTTTCTGAATTATGCCACTCAACTGTTAACTCCTAGTGAGCAGAATTAAGGGGCTCATACAGCTCTAATGGAGCTGTATGAGCTCTCATTGTTCTTACTTGTTACTAAAGACAGATATCCCCTCAGTCTTTAAGGATTTTGTGTACATTTAAAGAATTTCCCTGGCACGAAGAATGATACTACTCAAAGTAAATGGAGAGTCTGAAGCTGTTTAGAGAACATTATAAACAGATGCAATTAAATTACTACAATAAATGACTGCTTATTGAGAAGATATTTTGGGTAGATGGTGCTTGATTCTTACAGTTGGTCTTCACTAATTACTTATAATAATTTATGGACATCATTATAAAATTATATCTAAGCCTGCATAATAAAAACTGATACAAAACTTGTAAAATTTTGGACCTCAGCAAAGCTTTCAATACTGTGTCTCAAAATACAATATCCTTCTGGAAAAAATGTCCAGCACACAGCAGAACCTATATTTTTTTTTTTGCTATTCCAATTTTTTTTGATGTCTTGGCAGTTCCACAAAATAGTACAAGAAGAAAATATTCAAACTTTTTTATTGTCTAAATGTTTTCTTTATAAATAAAGCAGCGAGACTTAATTACATTGTGATGGTCTTATGCTGGTTCTTGTGCTGAGTAAAAACGCAACAAGCTTGCTTGAATGGTTCTTTTTAGTAAACGTTCAACAGCAAGTTAACTTTTAACAGAGAGAAGGCAAGAGATTCCACCATTGAAAAGTAAGGTCTCTTTGAAATGGATGTTTTAGTGACCATCTTGTTACCTGATGGAAGAGCATTGACTGAGAACCCTGGAGACAGAGGAGTGATGTATGAGAGATATAAAAAGATTATGACTCCAGCTGTGAGTGTTAGCAGTGTCATTGTTTTTGTGTCATATTTTCAAGGTAAAAGACTTGTATCAGAAAATACTGAGAGAAGATTGTGCTTCTACTGGCTTGTTATTTGTCATATTAAATTTGCTATAATCAAGTTTGACAGGCTTCTCTTTATTTTTTCCAGCAGACAATATTATTGTTGAAGATTAGTCATATGCCTTCCGTCCATTCCCTGCCTCACATGCTATGTCATCCAAGCTTTGGAACACTTAGAACATAATTTAAATGAATGACTAATTTGGCAAGCATAATGGAAGGCACACATACCATCCTCCTGTTGCACAAACCCATTACAGAGCTTTGTTACATCAGCTTCTATCATCCAAAGGGAGAGGTCACAGGATTTACTTACATGGGCTCTGGAACTCTGGATAGAACGGGTGAGAGTTTCTGTGGCTGCTATCAAGTGAGGGAGAGGTTAGACATGGCCCTGAGAGAACGGCCATATAAAGACTGTGGAGTTATTATTTTCAAGCAAACTACCACAAAAGACCTTCTCAATGAAATGTACAAACTGACTGCTGAAAAGGAAAACCTGTTATCCAGTGCTTTGAGTTCTGATCATATTCCGGACCTTAAGGCAGGACATCAGGAGGAAAAACGACAGGATGTTTCCGGAGTCCCGAAACTTAAAGGTGGTAATTACTCCATTCTTACACATCAGCAGGAGTTACTACTGGATTCTACAAAGAGAGACAATTTGAATCACAAAAAAATGAGGAAATACAGAAGGAAAGAGAGCTCTGAGGAGATCAGACATCGCAAAGAGGGAAAAAAGTTACATGAACATCTCTTTTTACTGAGTACACAAGACATGCAACGGAAAAATAAGATGGTCTCCACAAGACTTTCTACCAGGAATTATCCCAGCTCCTTTTCTCCCTCCAGCTGGCTAACAGTAAAAAGTAAGGATAATTTACCAGTAGACAATAGAATACAACCAGAGAGGTGGATAGAAGAGGGATATTTTCTTAAGAGTAACAAAGCTGTGAAATTGGATGCTGACTTACCAAGTTCTAGCTCAAAAGACATCAATGATGTTGTTGCAGTGGATAATGGAGAATGCATTCCTGAAGTTACCAAGGTACAACAGAGGACCACTTTGGTGAATTCATCTCACTACAGTCTGTCTAACAAACTTGAGCCATTAAGTAAATCTGCAGCTGCTGAAGTCTTGAAAAGTAGCAAGTATGCTGGGCCAGTATGCAAGGAGAAACCAGGAATCACAGTTCTTGCTGAAGTCCAGGATTTTGACACTTGTATTAAAAAAGTTACCAATCCCCCTGCAGAGTCTTTGCCTGGCTCTCACAGAGATAACAAAACCATTTCGCCTGTTCTCACAAGAGCACATAACGAGGTTATATCAAGAAGTGATGTGTACTCTGTAGATGAAGCTACTGGAAACTCTAATAACAGTGTGCTGCAGGAAAAGGAGGAAGACGGCTCTGGTTTGCAGTACAAAGCAGAGAGAGTGCACATTACTGATGAGTCATGCAACCTTGTGGGAGCAGTTAATAAAGCTCTTCTGAAAGTTATCCGGAGCGACAGTTTAGATGAAGCTGCAGAATGGAAGAGACTGCAACAAATTACAAGAGTAGACAAAAACCTGCCAGGCTCACCATATGAGAAAAGGACCACGGTATCCCAGGGAAACAGCAAGCATTTATTTTTGAACTTGCCTGTAAATGAAAGTCCTGATATTCCTCAGACAAGTAATAATCTTAAACTGGAAGAGAAAAGGCTGCATTCACCCCCATTAGCAGCAGTGAGTAATGTTTTTAGTAATTCATATCCGCTATCTAATACACACAAACAAATGTCACCTATTCCTTCTCCGTTATCTCCGAGACTGCCCAGCCCGCAGCTGCACCACCGGATCCTCCCGCTGCCAACGCAGAGCACCGAGGACGAACCCATGCTCAGTGACTGTGGCCATGGAAGGCACGGGGCTATAAACTTCTCTTTCAGTGATTTGGAGCCACCGTTTTATCGGAAGTTTTCTGATCCTGGGGAATTGGGATTTGCCAGCAGACAACGGGGCCTACATCAGAATGCAACTGCAGGACATTTTGAAAAGTGTGCTGTGCAAGAAAAATTGACTACTCGGACACAGCAGAGTTTCTGTCCAGGTCAGTCCTATTTCACACATTTTTAAACTAATAGAATCAACCAAGCATGAAAGTCTTGGAGGGTTTTCTGGGTTTGTTTGCTTTGGTTTTTTTTAATACTAGCTAGTAATAATAAATACTGTGTTAACTTAAAAAAATATTTTTTACTACTTACAGACTGGGTTACAGCTGTAAAAGGTTTCAAGATAGATTTTTTTGACAGCTTATTTTCAGTCTTGTTACTGAATGACCTCTTAGCCAAAGTTAAGGGAAAATCTTTCTGTATGAAATGAAAAAAGCTCACATGCTTATTTTACTGCTTTTGCTGTGCTGTGTTCTAGTCTTTCAAAGTGTTATGGTAACATTTATTCTCCAATATGTTCTTTTTGCTTGTTTGGCTGAACTGATAGAATATTTTCTGAATATTTTCTACAGTGCCTTAAAGTATAGGACTGGTGCTTTGACCATTTAGCTACAAGGTTGATGTAAATTCTGTAAGAAAAGGCTTGTTTTTAAAATGATTGCATGCAGGAGTCCTGTTACAATGTATTTGAGTACAGTGCATGGGTTTATTTATAAAGATATACAGTGTAAAAATGCATAATTATTTTTGTTAGCTAGATCATCAGCATCTATACTCTTCATTTTTAACTTAAGGAGAGGGAAGGCTGTAGGACCTAATTCTGCAGTGATCTAGGTGTGGCTCAGACTGGTCCCTCTGTCTCACAGGGGGGCTGGCAGAGCAAAGTGACACAAAAGGGGAATTCCAAAATGGGAGGTGTGTAGGGATGTGAAACCATTACCTTAGCCAGAGGGTGTTTAGTACTGCCTGTGAGGTTTGCATTTATGCCTGCTACTTCTAGAAGTTGTGCTAGTTCCACTCAAGACTAAATCAAATTTAAGGTGTTGTTTGGTGAGTTGACAAGGCTGAAAAGATGGGTGCTACGCTCTTCTTTCATTCCTTTCTTGGTTCTTGTTGTGCTGTGCTGTCCTACCCCTCTCATTATGTCTTGTACTCATTGTACCTTTTGGTGAGCTGCTTTAGCTGACAAAACCAGCAATTTCACCCCTTTAAAGAATAAAGTAGCACAGAAAATATTTTTCTCTCTGTTTTACATTAGGTTTTTTTAACTTATTGTATCATTTAGAATTGTTGGATGTGGAACTGTACCTATTATGCTGTACTCTTGTACTGTCTTTGGCTGGGATAGGGTTAATTTTCTTTACAACAGGTTGTATGGAGCAGTGTTTTAGATTTGTGATGAAAACGGCCTCAATAACACAGGGATGTTCTAGCTTGTGCTGAGCAGTGTTTGCACAGCGTCAATCCCTTCTCTGTTTCTCACTCTGCATCCCCCCAGTGAATAGACCAGGGGCTGCACAATGGGCTGGGAGGGGACACAAGCAGACAGATGACCCAGACTAACTAAAGAGAAATTCCCTGCCACATAACGTCATGCTCAGGAATAAAAGTGCAAAGAGGGGGCTTCAGAGGGGTTAGCCATCTTTTGCCTGGGACCTGGCAGGGCTTCAGTCTACCCATGAGAGGTGGTGAGTGATTGCTGTAGCATCGCTTGTTTCATTTTTTTCTTCCCTCTTTTTCTACTTATCTTTCACTTATTTAACAAAATTTTTGTTTGTTATCTTGACCCCCAGTTGTTGGGGTTTTTCCATGCCTCTTCCCCCATGCCACATGGGGAAAGGGAGGAGGAAGGGAATGAGTGTATGTGGTGCTTATTTTCCTACTGGGCTTAACCTACAATGGTTTTACATGAAACAAAACAACACACATACATACTAATGGCATCTGTTGGCTGAAAATCCTGGCTATTAAGCAGAAACATCTTTGTGAAGAGAAGAAAAGCAAACAAGCCCAATTTTAGTTCTTGTTTACATTTACCTGGCAACATTAATACAGACAGAAAATATCACAAGGTTCTTTTTTGTTGTTTTGTTTTGTGGGATTTTTTTTTCAAGTATGATTGCATGCTAGTGTTATTACTGATGTGTCAGAAAAATCTGTGACTTTAAGGAAAAATTCCCTATTTTGCTGGTATATATAATACCGTAGATATGTCTCTGGATCTGGGATAATGACTTCCATTTCCATCTGAGCCACGGGTGGAATCATTCATCTTGACAGAGCATTTGGGTGGAATACCATTCTTCTGTAAACATACATGAATTATAACTAACTGACTATAGTTCAGTGAGACAAATTATGTGCCTCCAATTTTACTTAATGTAAATGATATTAAGATTTACAGTTATAAGCCTGCACTCCTTTAATTCTTATCAGATTGATTCTTATCAAATTCCTCCCATGTGTGAAGAGGAGAGTTCAAGACTATTTTTCAGATTTGTCTCCATTGGGGTATTACTGTGAAATGTTTTCTTTCAATTCCAGTCAGTTATTAAATTGTGTAAGTATCTACAATGACTCTAAGAATTATGGATAATTTTGGTCAACTTTTTATCAGTCAGCTTGATTGAAAGATTTGCTTCATGGCAAAAATAATGGCCTTTTGTATATCTTTTCAAAGTTCCATTGCTGTCATAGCATGTACTACTTCTTCCTGAAAAGCTTTTGGAAGCTGTTGTTACCCGTGTAACTTTGTATTTGGAAAATTTCATTAATTAGTTAGGTATTCTAATTTATTAGTTTAAATTAGAAGCTGGACTCATCATACAGCTCTACACATAATTTTAATTCTCCTTTCTTGTCATCTGTGAAGAATCATGATTCTTCAGACTTTCTCAATAATTGGCAAATATTCCTTTAGTCAAAACTGAAGCACCTAATGCACATTGCCTGACTTCTGTACTTCCATTTTTTCTCAAATTCAGTTTCTTTATAGATATATAGATACATATATGGCACATGTATAATAGTTTCAATGCACAAAGTTCTATTAGTAGTTAATTTGAAAGTACAGTTTACTGGATCTTCTTGTTGAAGTGCAACTATTGGCCATGGGAATAGGCCACAGCTTTCATCTTGGTAAGTTAATAGTTAACAGGGAATAATTTATAGTTCAACAATAATTACTTGGCAATTTTCTCTGTAGGTGGGACTGGGAATCAAAATTCTTGTATTTGCATGCAATAGTTCTATTTGAATTATCAAAATTCTAAGAAAAAGCTTTAGAATAACTTAGTGCTTTCAAATGATAAATTGCTCAGTTACAAGCAGCAAAACCAGAAGTACAAGCACTAAAATTTATCATAGAATGACATTTATTAAATCCTCAGAAACATAATTCCTGCATTTCTGTATGAATTTTTTTCTACTCTAATATGACGTATTGTTTTTGTATTCTTGGAGAGGCCTTTGAAAATATCTTCAATACATCTGAATAACAGATGCATTTTCTCGGGGAAAGATTTTCTGAGACCTTTTAGTTACTGTCACTGCTTCTCTCTCAAGTTTCTACAGCACTAGAAAAAACTAGGGAGAAGATTTTCAGAGCTATTCTATCAATTTAGTACTGAATGACATCAATATACTATTATACTAAGTATTGCCTGTTAGAGAAAGAATATGAGGGCAATTTTTAGCAGTTATTGAAGTGAATTTGATTCAGAGCAGAAAACTTAAAAATAAAAATCACTGGTTATGACACAGCTTCCAGGACAGTGACTGGCAAGTGTTATTCACCATACTTTCTGATATATATTTTACTCCTAATGTGGAAAAAAAGAATAAAAATCTGCCAAGGGGGAATGGTGAAAGCAAGAAAGGGAGCAAATGAGAAGGATGTTACCCTATCCCCAGCCAATGAATAATGCTCATTTTTGGTATCTAGTAGATGTGAAGGAAAAAGATACCCAGAAAACACAGAAATCCAAAGTTAGTAGGACTGTAAAGAAATGAAACCAAACTTGGAACAGAACTGAATGATTAAGGTTTGTGTCAGGTAAAATGGCTGAGACTTACAGGACTGAAAAGACAGGCCCATTCTCTTCTTACTCTCTTCCTTCTTCCATTGAAGGCCTCCTCTCTTCACTTTTCCCCCCAATCTCTGCAACAACTTGGGTGTTTTTCCTGCTTTTTGGTAATTTGAGTTAAATCACTAAGCAAGCTGAAAACTGAGCCAGCACGGAGGGAGGTGAGTAGCTTTAGCTGGTTGAGTGAGCTGAACAGCTCACAGTGGGCTGACAATAACCACTGCTAGGGTGAGGGAGGACATGCAAGTGTGGCAGAAAGGACAAGTGGCAAGACCACCCCTCCTGCAGGGAATCATTTGATCCCCAAAAATCTCAGTTGCAGCTGAAAAATGGAAGCCAGAAGGCTGGGTGGGACTGGCTAAAACTGAAGCTATCAGGAGTGGGAAATGAGAAGAATCAAGTTGGATGAAGATACGGAGGGACTGTGATATTTTGAGTGGGTTCTATTAATACTGAAGCGGGAAGAACAAGAGATGGAGGACAAGTGAGAAAGTGGAACTCCAAGACTGAGTAGAGAGTGTTACCTTGGCTGTGATAGAGAACATTTATGGAGTATCACAAAACAAGTAGAACATGGCGGATAAGAGACAAGATAATTTCTATTTTTGTTTTGTTGGGAAAGTCTACAAAAGAAACTTTAACCATTACAATGTACATTGTGGCTATAAATCTGTCTGGCTTGCTGAGGTTTCATGAAGTCAGTGTGCAGTATCATGAAATTTTGGAAATGCAGAGAAGACAAGGGAGGAAGAAGAAGAAAAGTGAGGTAGAGTTCTGGATTTAAGGTCTTCAAAATTATAATGCTTATTGTGTTGTAGGGAAGGAATCCTAAATGCTTGAAAAGGTTGGTGAATATAAGTTTTTTTGGTTATTTCTCAAATAATTTTCTTTAATTGACTCGTTAAAAATGTTTACTGAGGAGTTATTTGCAATATATTCTGGATATAATTGTAGATGCATCTATCCCTATCCCTATCCCTGCTGATTATTAGATGGAGAATGTTGTGTTTGCTTGTTTCTGCCAATGAGAATTTTATGGCAGCAGTTCACTTTCCATTAGAAAGAATTGAAAA